GGGGGGGGGGGGGGGGGGGGGGGGGAGGAAAGAGAACATTACCTTTTTCCCCCAAAAAGTATGTGTTATGGTTTTGGCCAATGAAGTTTTTCTTGAATTTTGAAATGATTTAGAAACAACAATAAATGACCAACTTAATATTAGGGTAATTAAAATTAATTTCAGCTACAAAGAATATATGGAGTCTAAATAGGGTATATAGTATTTTCCAAAATATTAACCATATTACAAAGTAATACTTGGATTATAAAAATCCCATGGTAAATCTTGAATATTTATTTCATAATGATGTAGATACGAAAATTTCCGCTCTCATGAAGTGTATTAATTTTTGAGTAATGTTCTCTAGCCCACTAGTGTTCCCAATCAATCTATGTGACAACATGTATAACATTACACCAGTACAGAGATAATATGTGTGGCATTAAATGACATATTCTTTTAAATAAATGTAGATATGGTGCATTTTATTGGATTTATCATATGTTACAAAGCACCAATGTTGTTAGGTAGCATTATTCTTAGTTTTAAGAATAGTTGCATTCGCGGTCCCAAATCAGCATTGCTACAAATGAAAAATTAGGGTAAATCCGCAATAATTTGAAAGGTTTGTGATCGTGATTGCCATCATCTCTCAGTTTTTATAAGATTGACAAGGTTTCGATTTAAACACTTAAGTTTTTACTCTTTTCTTCTTCATTTACTTCATATAGTACTTATTTTTGCAGTTAGGAATGTCAAGCGCAACTGAAACTCTATGCGGGCAAGCATTTGGAGCGAAACAATACCATATGATGGGCATTTTCTTGCAAAGATCATGGCTAGTGGATCTTATCACATTAACAATCTTACTACCTGTTTTTATCTTAGCAACACCAATCTTTAAACTACTTGGCGAGGAAGAAGCTATTGCAAAATCTGCTGGATATATTTCTTTGTGGTTCATCCCATTTGTTTACAGTCTCTTTTTCTCTTTAACGATCCAAATGTATCTACAAGCACAACAAAAGAACATAGTAATTGCATGGCTATCCACTATGCAATTTGTAATCCACATTCCCTTGTCTTGGCTTTTTGTCTACAAACTGAATTGGGGAGTTTCTGGCGCTATGGGAGCACTCTGCATATCTTCGTGGTCTTTGGTCGTTGGAGAATTTGTATACATCTTTGGCGGTTGGTGCCCCAAGACATGGAAGGGATTCACTACAGCTGCATTCAAGGATGTGTTGCCAGTGGTGAAACTTTCAATATCTTCTGGTGGTATGGTTTGGTAAATTCTTTTTCTGATAATTGTTCGGACATATTTGATTATACTTACTACTATGAATCATTTCCAAAATATTTACAGAGGTACGTACACTTGCCGAAAATATTGAAGATTAAAAAAAATGCTAAAATCGTGTCCATCGTACTATCAAATACTACCTACTAAACATGCACATATATATTTAAGCATCAGTCATAAAATCATTAAGAAATTGCTTTTATCGTGTCATCTTCACTTGTTAATAGCTTTCATTGTTTTGCAGCTTAGAGTTATGGTACACTGCCATTCTGGTATTACTAGCAGGATACATGCAAAATGCAAAGGTTTACATATCTGCCTTTTCTATTTGGTAAGATTACATTACAATCTTTTCTCATGTTTTGCTACATTATGGAGATATCTACTAATTAAACTAATTTTGCAGCCTTAATATCACTGCATGGGAATTAATGATTAGCTTTGGCATGATGGGTGCTGCATGGTATATATCAGTTTTTCTCTTTATATTATGGTACAAGTCCTATTTCTTGTTGCAATTCTATTTTGTAATTGACAATTACTTATTGTTCACTGTATAAACAGCGTTCGTGTGGCAAATGAGCTTGGGAGAGGAGATGCGAAGGCTGTAAAATTTTCTATTAAAGTCCTAACTAGTACTTCAATATCAATAGGGCCACTCTTTTGGATTCTTTGCTTGGTATTTGGCAATAAAATCGGGTACTTGTTCACGAATGATGAAGAGGTTGCAAGCAGTGTTACTGATCTTTCTATACTGCTAGCTTTTTCTGTGTTGCTCAATAGCATCTTTCCTATATTTTCTGGTAAGTCATCTATTCTTCTGATTAATTAATTAATTTATTATTTAATTTTTTGTTCCTTTTTCGTACCACCAAAATGTGGAGTCAAATCATAGTTGTAGCGATAAACACGCCTATCGATCAATTAACAACACAAAATTAGTTAACCACTCAATAGATAATGGAAATTAATCAATGCAAATCAAGAATAAAGCTTCCCTATCAAACTCCAATGGATTGGCACCAAAAGTAGATGGATCGATCAAGAGCCGAAAATCACACAGCAACTCCCGACAAATTGGGCCAAGATTACCCACTCAAATGGATGACAAAGAAATACTCAAAACTCGGCCAGAAGGACCATGCATGGACGGTCGAACAGGGGCAAAACGGGACAACAACAGGGGGTGAAAAAAAGCACGGACAGAGGCACAAAAACGGTGCCCAAGTTGCTGGTAAAGGGCAGTAGTAAAGAGCAACAAAGTAGGCAGCCAAAAAGGTTAAAGAGACAAAGGCAGTCACAAAGAGAGAGGCTAGGAGTCTCGAGAATATTGCCAAAGTAGAAGTGGTGTGTTGTGTCTAACACACAAAGGAGATAAACCAATATATATGTAATATAATAGGTAAGTAACACGTTGAGCCCGCTGAGTGGTCTTGGTCCTTCTTTGTAACTTGGGCTACCAATTGTGATTTTTGACCCAACGGCCCTTATATGCATTCAATTTTAAATTATTCATCATTACCCTAAAGTTTATTTGTTATCAAAATATCCAACAAACCTCCACCTTGATGTCAAATATACATGTAAAAAGAAAAATAAGTTTAATAGTAGTACCATGTGATTTCAATCAAAATTGAATCGTTTAGAAATGTGAGACAACCTCTAAACTTTACTAGGAAGGCACCCTAGTGCCCATGTCTGTAGGGTTATAGCAAGAGTGCACTTTCTCAAGTTTTATCAAATCTTAAGATACTATCTCTCTAGTAAAATGCGCCCTAACATTAATGTGTTTATTGTGTTCATGAAACACGGGATTCCTTTTAAATGGAAGGCAAATTGACTATTAGAGTATACTCTCACATTATCTCTTAAAGCACCCAGTTCATTAAGCAAACCTCTAAACCACAAGGCTTCTTTAATAGCTTTGGTGGCAACAATATACTTAGATTTGGTAATGGATAGAGCAACAATATATTGGAGTTGAGACTTCCAACTCACACAAGAGTCTTACTAAGTAAACACATAAGAAAAAGTAGACTACCTATTATCTCTATCATTGTTAGCATCCGTCAACCCTTTAAGTTTCACACCCTCCATAGTAGACTTATAAACAAACCTCTCATTCAAAGTACTCTTTAAATACGTAATCAACCATTTTAATACTTCCCAATGTTTGGGACCAGGATTACACATGCACCTACTTAACACATTCATAGTGAAAGTGAAATCAGATTTAATATAGACCATGAGGTACATAGTAGAATCAATAACGTTAGAGTAAGGCACCTTACTCATAAAATCATTTTCTTCTTTATTTGTAGGTGATTGGTCCTTAGACAATATAAATGGTATTTAAGAGGCACAAAAGCAGGTTTGCAATCAAGCAAGTCAAATTTCTTCAAAATTTTAAGCACGTAAGCAGTTTGATATACAAATAAGCGAGAATTTGACCTATCCTTGTTAATCTCCATACTAAGGATCCTCCTAGCATTTCCTAGATCTTTCATGTCATTTTTTTTACTCAACTTAATTTTAATCTAGCTTACCACAATCATATTAAGTCCAATTAATAACATGTCGTCCCATAGAGTAACAAATACTTGCACTCTTTATTAGTATTGTGGTGTTGGTAATAGAAGAATGATCAAACTCACTCCTGTTGAAACCACTAGATAACACATAGGAATTAAACTTTCTATAACATTGCCGTGGAGACTTTTTTAGCTCATAGAGAAATTTCGATAAAAATACACACAATCGGGTTTATACTTACTTTCAAAACCTTTGGGCTGATTAAAAAAAAAATCTTTTCATTGATATCACCATGCAAAAATGCAATTTTGAAATCAGATTGTTTAAGTTCCCAGTCATAGTAAGCAACGAAAGCAAGCATAACTCTAATAGTTGTGTACTTAACAATTGGCAAATAGATCTAATTATAATCTATCTCTTCCTTCTATGTATAATACTTGGCTACTAACCTAGCCTTATATATCTCATAGGTTTACTCTCAATAGTTTGTTATTTTATCTTACCGACCCACTTGCATCCAATTATGGATTTAAATTAGGTCTAAGAACTAAATCCCAAGTTTGATTCTTCATAAGAAAACTCATCTCTTCTCTCATGGCACTTTGCCATTCCTCACTTTTTTCACTCCTCATAGTCTCTTCATAGGTATTTCGCTCCTTATCAACTAGTTTCTGGTAACTAATGTAGGCTATGACCTAGTCAAACATCCTCTAGATTTCCTTATCTAGTCTCTTCTCTCTATCTCTAGTTGATTGATAGTCAGCTAGAATGTTTTACTCAATAAGATTGTTATTAACAACTTTCTCATCGTCTTCTAACTCTATATTCTATTGATTTTGTGCGTTACTTTCCACCTTGCTCGGGGTAGTAGGGATGTAAACACTCACTCACTCCGCCGTAATTAGGGACTCTTCCTCTGTAGTCTCTATCGGTTCTTCACTCTCCATGAAAAGCATCTCAGATGAGCTTTTATTAAAGTAGCGGCTATATGTTTTGTCTCGACTTATGATTATTCTCACACCCTTGTGGCTTCTATCTCACAACCTATATCCCTTAACACCTTCAGGATAATCTAAGAAGACACATTTTTTGGCTCTAGGTTCTAGTTTTCCCTCACTTAGATGAAAGAAAACAGTACAACCAAAGGTCCTAAGCATAACATAATCAGTACACTTACCACAATAAATCTCGTACAGAGTATCACCAATTCAAGATAGTGAAAAGGAGCATATTAGTCTGATAGCATGTAGTCATAACATCTTCAACCTAAAAAGACTTAAGCGCATCAAAACTTAACATCATACATCTAACTTTATCTAGTGCGATTCATCCTTTCAGTAACACCGTTTTGCTGGAGAGTGTAAGGTGTAGTCCTATATCTAGTGATGACATGTTTATTATATAAATTATCAAATTCTGTATTACAAAATTCGAGACCATTATTGGTATGCAAATATTTCACCTTTTATGTGTTCTCCACCTTAACTTTTCAATTTCAAAAATCACAAAAGTTTTAGATTTATATTTTAGCAAATAAATCCACAGACGTTTGGAAAATTTGTCAATAATAGATTGTAAATATGTCTTACAACCAAAAGTGAGAATGCTCTCCAAACCCCACAAATTAGTATGAATGTATTCCAACACTTTAGATGTATTGAATGTGCTAGATGCAAATGACATCTTACGATGTTTACGAAGTACATAATGATTGCAAAATAGCATGTCGACACCCAATCTTAATGAAACACTCCCTTATCAATAAGGAACTTAAGTACCTTAACACTAATGTCAGCTAATCTATTGTGCCACTTCTATGTGTGATCAATGTCAATGATGTGAAATTTAAACCACCCATCACCTTAGTACGCGTGATATAGGTACAATTGTTCCTAATAGCCTTAAAGGCTGTAAGTGCCCTTTAAATATTTTTAGTATTCCATCACGAAGTGCACCAGTGAAACTCGTGCTCTCCAACTCCCTCGCAATTAGATTCTTACCTATACATAGAATGTACCAACTTCCTTTTTTGTGTGCATAAAACCACTACCAAATCTGATAGTCACACTACCACACTAGTGATCTTATATGCGACTCCATCATGTAAACCTACCCAGGATTATCTCTCAGGACAATAATATTTATCTCATTGGGTTCACCGTCCTTCTAATTTCTCAACATTTTTTTTTCCTTTATGAAACTCATTTATGAAATTGTCTTAGTTTTTCGCGATTGTAACATTTCGTCTGCTTTGTCTTCTCTTCTTACTTAGATCTACCTCTTTTCTTTTTCTTACCACCACTGTTTTGCCTCTTTCCACTACTAAAATGGATCTACCCCTCATTTTGTCAATCTTTCTTTCTTTTCTCTCTTTTATGTCAACTTTGATTCCTCTTCTTACCCTTTAAGGAATCGATGACTATACTGAATGTAAGGGTCTTCCTTCCATAATTGATTGCATTCTTGACTTCCTTATAGCATTCAAGAGAATAATAGCTTTATATTCATCAGAAACCTTTTCACCACAATTTGTAATGTCTTGAACTAATTTATTGAAAATGTCAAGATTGTCATCTAAATATTTTGAGTGATTAATTTTGAAACTGAAAGAACTTTCAGGAAAGATAAGTTTGTTTGACATTGATTGAGTCAAATAAAGCTTTTTAGGCTTTTTCTAAAGTTTTTTTTACAGAATCATGTTTACCAATTTTTCGTAAATCAGAATCAGATAAGTGCAAAATAATAGCGGCATAAACGAGTTCGTGAAACTCCTTTCTCTGATCCTCAATCACAGTTGCGTAAAAAGTATTATCAAAGAATTTTGAAACCTTTTGTTGTACTTAAGTCTCTTTCATCTTTTGTTGCCAAATAGAAAAATCACATTTACCGTTAACGACACCAAGTCAAAATGGTGAACAAACATCTTAATAGATAACACAAATAGCACATAAAATAACATTCATAGAGACAGTCACACAAAAAGTCCTAGAGGTCACAAATATACGCCGATCTAAATTCTCAGAATTTTCATAAGATTAGTGATCTCATTCTCAAGAGAATTGTCATGCAGATAAGGTTAAAGGTTACAATTTTAATCACAAACAGCTCAGGAACAATATGGAATTACACAAAGTCAATAAAGTCACAAAAAACGACAATATCACAATTTAGATAAATAGTCTTAAAATATTAGCATCACACAATACCACAATCATATTGATCACCTTATACGATGACTTGCTATTGTAGAAATTTAAAGAATTTTAGACTTATTTGTGTTCATAACTATGAGAGATACAAAATTAAATAAGGATTCAAATATTTATTACAAAACTAACAGACCTACGCTTCAATTGCACCATAAACACACATTCAATTTATTGCAAATAAATTCTAGCACAGAGATTGAAAAATAAACCACTACAGGAGCCTAAAACGAGGCTCTACTACCTGTTTGTAATGTAAAACACGCCTATCAATCAATTATCCACACGAAGTTAGTTAACTATTCAATAGAAAATGGAACTTAATCAAAGCATATCAAGGATAAAGCTTCCCTAGCTCCAATGGATTGGCACTAAAAGTTGATGGATCTAGGCTCAGATCAAGAGCAAAAAATTACACAGCAACACCACACAAATTGGACAAAGATCACCTACTTAAATGGACAACAAAGGAATACCCAAAACTCGGCTAGACGGGCCTTGCATGGAGGCAGTCGAATAGGGCCGAAACGGGACAAGAACAGGGAGTAAAAACACACACGGATGGAGGCAAAAAATCGGTGCCCAAATTGTCAATAAAGGGTGGCAATAAGGATTGACAAAGGTGTAACTCACAAAGTTGGGAGAGACAAAGGCAATTAAGAAGAGAGAGGGCAAGAGAGGAGCATCGAGAGTCTCAAGAGTATTGCCAAAGGAGAAGCCAAGTGTGTAACACACAAAGGAGACACACCTATATATATATATATAGCTGGTCAAGTAATGGATTGAGTAGGTAATAGGTTGAGCCCGTTGAGTGATCTAGGTCCTTCTTTGTAACTTGGGCTACCAAGTGTGATTTTCGACCCAAAAGCGCTTATGTGCATTCAATCGTAAGTATTCAATGAAAATCCATCCCGATTATTCAGCGTCGCCTGAGGTTTATTTGATATCAAAATATCTAGCAATAGTGCTTTAACATTTTCTTTACTTATTTTGTTACTTGTTTGATATTAGGGATTGCAATTGGAGCAGGTTTACAAACAACTGTTGCAATTATTAATGTTGTTTGCTTCTACATAATTGGAATACCAATTGGAGCTTTACTTGGATATCTGACTCATCTTCAAGTTAAGGTAATATCTTGCTTTTCCATTTTTGGTAAAAAGGAAAGAATTATTCAAAAGATTCTTCATTTGCATCTCAATATCTTACATTAGAGGAATATAAAAACCCTTGAAATCATGTCTGAATTTTCATTTGCAAATAATATACCGTATTCATTACACTAGATTCATTGGGATTGTACACAACAAATCGAAAAATCTTATTAGATATCCTTAATCCTACTGACATGTTTGGCATGGAAAATTGTGCAACAATGATGGTATTAAAGATCCAAATTTGTCCTTTATACTCTAGGACATTACCCACACCAAACATGTCCATACACTCATGTCGATACAACAATTCAAACAGAGTTCTTGTAGCATTTTTCATAAAATTATAGAAATTAATAATGAATTCACAGGGCATATGGATCGGGATGCTGTGTGGGGTGGTCGCTGAGACAGCTGCGTTAAGCTTCATGACATGAAGAATAAATTGGGATCAACAGGTAAATTTGGGGGGAAAAAATTTAAATAATAGAAGTGAATAAACATGTTTAACAATTTTTTTGTCAAATAATTTTATTACAGGTATTTAAAGCTTCATTGCGCCTTCAAAAGTGGTACTTAAAGTCTTCTGATGAATTTAATCTGATGTCTGGCCATGCTTGAAGAACAAAGATCTCTAATTTCTACCAAATTTTTGTACCAAAACTTGTTGTTTAATGTTTACTAGCTAAGAACATGTTCATTGCTCGTTCTTTGTGGCAATATTACATTTTTTTAATATATATATTTTTTATGTGGAACATCATAGCATCCTTGTCGAAAGTAAACAGCCCCTCTTTGGTCGTATGTGTTGGAAAAAAATAATTAGTTGAAGTAATGTTCAAAACTATAAAATGCAGAAATATAAAACTTATCGTCCGATCGAGTCTCGTGACAGCACGATATCCTAAAGTGAAATTGCCCGTCGATAATTGCTGCGACCTCCGTGGACAATCACTCCCAGGATACAACGATCGTAAACCACTTATGCAGCAATCACGAATGATTTTTTCAGAACTTTCAATTGTACTCCAAAATATATGTAAAAATTCGAGTATAGGAAATTCAGAATATGAAAATGAAGGATTGATACAAGAGGATTTTTCTATTTTCTTTTTGTGTGTATTTTTCCCAAAACGAAATATGGATTTATATAGGTAAGATGGAAGTAACAATCTCCACCATGATCATAGATTAATTTAAAATTTTAATGATTGAGTAGTGGGTATTTTAATGACTGTTAGTGGGTTGTTACAAAAACAAACAGTCGAAAAAATCATTTATTTCTCTCCAATCAAGACATTTTAATATCTGCGTGGAGAGTGACTCGAACCCCTGACGTCCCGCACAGAAGCCACATTTCCCACCACTTTGGCACTTTATCTAATTTAATTATTTCTTTCACATTTTATGTTTATACCATAAATATATAACAGTATGTTAGTTCCGTCTATATAATTTTTTTTCTTAGTTTTGTTTCACCTTTCATCAACAATTAATTGGGCATACTTACTGTCGTTTCAAAGTTTGTACTCTTTTTGATGCATTAATGTGGTAGTTTTTTTATTGCCTCCTAAGTCAAATAACCAACTATCATATCTATGTCACGTAGGGCGACCATTAATAGTCTTCACTATGGATAACAATATTCTTTGTTTTTTCTTAACTCATAAAACATGTATGTAAACATAGAATATGCAAGCTATAACTATAATAATTGTAAATGATAGATGAATGTCATAGATACCAATAAATCGTACCTGAAATTTGAAGCATGATTAGAGCCGAGGGCGAAAGAGTCCTACATGCTCAAACAGTAATACTATGACATAGGAAGGATCCAGTTGTTAACGTAAAACATATAAAATTTATTCTAGTGAGGTAGAAACGTAAATAGTTTCAGAATATATCAATTAACATGACTTAAAAGAAAAGATATAGTTCATGTTTGGCTTAGCATGAAAATCAACCTACTAGTTTTATATTTCATAAATTTGTTGGTCAACATTAAAAATAAATAAATTATTCATCTATCTGCCTTTACAAGTAAAAAAGGTGACATACCCAAATATGCTTGGAATAAAATTAGGTTAAAAATAAGTTTGACTTTCTTTTAATATTAACCCAAATATGCTCATAGCAGGTAGTCTGGGGAGGGGTTGGCATTTTTTTTTTTTTTTTTTTTAATTCCAAGGAATAATACTAGGATCTCATCAGGAAGTTAGTAGGAGGTCGGAAATCCTGCTGTAACCACATATAAATATAGACTATAGCCATCTTGTTTGTCTAATATTAAACAGATTTCAGAACCCCAGAATAAATTATTTATGAGAATGCACTTAGCTATATATTTGAGCCCTTATTTTGACACATAATTGTGCTGAACAACATGCAAGTTTTAAATTTGATATTTTCCTCCTTTTATAATGAGTTTTTTTTAACAGTTTTTGAGATAAGAGAGATTGAAGAGATCCAAAAAAGAGTGCAGTAATGGATAAAATATGTGCGACTGGTATAAAAATATCTTCAATTATGCTACATTGCTAGAGGAGTTTGATAGAAAGGTTGACATATAGGGTTATGAACTTATAATGCGATGATCGAGTCGATTCCATGATTATAAGTTCATTCCTGCCAAAGAGAGTGGCAATGCCATACGCAAAAAGAAAGAGACTCATAAAATGGCAGAGGCAAATAGAAATGGAAGAAATCCGAGTGAATGGAAAGGAAAAAACACAAGATGAATTCCACTTTCGCTAGAAACATGTGAAGTGTATGGCTAACCCAATAACGAAAGTTTCGTAAGGGACTGGAGTAGGCTACCATAAGAATCGGAATTGATCGATAGATTTCTCGAAACAAACGAAAAGGAAACGAAAGATATGTCATATATTATTCTATCATTGGACTATATAAATTATAGTCAACTTTTCCATCTAATCATATATTGCTGACACTTATTATATCAAGGAATTTGTCAACCGTTTCTGGTAAAATGGCATAATCCAAGTATCTTTGAAACAAAAGTGTTCTTCAATTGCAAGTTTGGACGGTAAAACCATTATTTGAAACTGGTTTATCTGAATTTTCACCACCTCAAGCCTATTTACAGCCCCACACATAGCATTTAGTGTTGTCAAACTAATGATTCATACAATTGAAAGAAAGAAAAAATAGAAATAAAGAAATAGAAATGAAGTGATCTATCGGAACCAAATCTCTTTAAGACATATTTCACTCCTTGCATTGGTGCTAAACAAGAACTATCTCCTAAAATACAATGCTTACTCCCAAGTCAATACTGCACTATATCAACATTGTTGGCCAAATTAAAGTATTGATATTATTCTTCTCGAACAAACCAAAACTTGAACTAAAATTGCTCAGAAAGGATTTTATTTCTCAAAAATAATTTGGACATATCTATCCCAACAAAATAATATCGGACAGACTTTTTAGAGGAAGGAGATTTAGAAATTAATTTATATTTGCAATTGATTTGGTGCAGAAGAATTGGCATAAAATTGACCCTCTACATAGATTTTCATGTTTCTCAGGAATGTCACTCATTTTTCAGATATTTGTGATGCCTTTCATTCGTGGTTTACCTTCTGAAATCCAGAACAAGTCCGTGCCAATCTATTGACTGTCATATCTGCTCCAAACTAGCTATCAATAGATCATTTCTACATTTTCTTCGATCTGTCATCCTTTTACCTACAAGTACACCATTAAGAGGCTTTACAGAAACGTACCTGGGTTTTGTCTCCTTTGGCCCTCCGAAGGTCGCTTCTTAATGCTAAACATACGAGACCTTAAGTAGAAAGGAGCAAGATGAAAAATAGAAAATATGGCAAGGAGACACAGCATTTTCATACCTCTTTTCTACTAACAATAGACTGTTTATAGGTATTCATATTAAAGAGGGAATATGGTCTTTCACCTATCTTGGAACATGAGTCATGATGCCAACGGAGAATGTATACTTTCTGAATATTCTTCTACCAAACATGACTTCTTAATTAGTGAAGCTTTCCCTTACATTTGCTCGAGTATATGTGTCACATACTCATACATCAAGAACTCACTTTCCAACAGATTTCCTACTTGATATTTTCTTCACTTTTAAACAGATTGATGCTAATATGGTGATGGTTCATATTTGTTAGGTTAGTAAAAAATATATGAAAACGATGATCTTTAGATATTAAGTGATTTACTTCCCTGATGGCCGAAGTCTCGTACGTTCTCTCTTAATAGCTTTGCTAAGTAAAATTTATGTCATAGTTTCGATGGGTATTTACTTCTCTCGCCCATTAAGTTCCCCAAGTCTTTAGGGAGCTGTGAAGGAGCCCAATCGAAGGAAGGCGAGGCTCGCCTTCAGCTTTATTTTGGTTGGACCCTATTTTCAACCATTTGAGTGACCATAGATTATATATATATATATATATATATATATATATATATATAAACACGTTTGGTCGCATCCTGAACTGCTGCAAGCTACAGCAATGTGAATTACACAAATGCTGGACTAAGCATCAAATTTTTTAGTCATAAATTCCTCCTTTCTCAAAATCATTTTTGAACCTTCCATTGATGGAGAGCTTACTCCAAACAGCTGAATAACAATTCAACACTAAAAGATAGACATGTTGTTGGGAATCTACTTATCATGCACAGCGGAAAATAACACAATTTTCGCAGCTAAGAATCGTCTTTGTGTTTAGATAGAAATTGTGATAAAAGATATACCTTTGTCTAGATCTGCAAACTCCTTTGCTATTCTTTGTTCCAACAATTTTGATTCGACACCCATAACTGTCCAATTGTTCAGCCTCCAACGGTGATCCACATGAATAACAAGATTGTAGTATTAGGATTTTTTTTTATGCTAGCAAGAAATAATGAAAAATCTCTACAAATTTGAAAACGCTAATCATATTTATATAAGCCCGAACGGGCTTGGCCTGACCCCGGTCCAACATTTAATTAACCCATTTAATTAAATCTGGTTCGTGAATTAATTAATCTAATTAATCAATTCAAGCCTATAAATAAGC